CTACTGACTGACTCCCTGTATCAGTGGTGGTGAACCTGTGGCACGCGTGCCACAGTAGACTATTTGTATCATTGGAAGCTCTAAAAGGTTCGCCATCGCTGGCCTGTACCCATTGCTCACGTTCCCCAGTTTTGCGGCGTGTGGCCAACAGCACATCGTAGTGGGGACACGTGGCGGACTAAGCCATTGGCTTCATGGTTGGAAAGATGAAAGAGACCAGGGTCCTACAGTCCCTTTGGAGGGACACCTGCAGCAACCTGAAACCTAGCCCTGTACCCCACCTCCCAGCCCATAGTGTGTTTGTCACCAAGAGGGAAGCTTAATGCAACCTGCGGTCCCTGGGTGGCAACAGCATGTCCTTGTGGGCTCATCCCTTAAATAAATGTGGGCTCTGGGGCAGCTGCATTGATGGGGTAGGGGCAGCGGGCAGATGGGAAGTCTGCATCTTCCTCTTAATTTCTCTGTGAACCCCAGACTGCTTTTTAAAAAGTCTTTTAAAAATGTCATCTATTTCCCTATCCTTTACTTAGATGTGATGTCTTCTTTCAGACCTCTAGGAGTACTTAATGTGTTTCTTGGGAAACTTTATCATCTAAAAAATATAAATCAGGGCCAGGGATTTGGTTCAGTGGCTCCGCCGCCTGCCTCATTAAGTGCAAGGTCCTGAGTTCGAGCCCCAGTACCAAACAAACAATATATACATAAATCAGATCTTCTTCTTTTCCTTGCTCAAAAACCTTTCCTTAGCTTCCCATACCAGGAATGTAATCTGGAGCTCTTCCTACTGGCCCTGCACATCTGGCTCTGACTCGGGTTCCTATTCAGCCACCTCCTACCATGCCCATTGCTCATTCTGCAGCTGTAGCAAACCCTTGGGGCACATTCCTACCACAGGGCTTTTGCACTTCCTGCACACTTTGCTCGGGTTATTTTCCCCCAAAATAATCATTTCCTTCAATTCTTTTGATGTTACCTGATCAGAGAGGCCTCTCCCAACCACTCTGTCGATTAACTGATTTCATATTTTCTGCGTAACACTGCTCTGGCATGATAGTATACATTTTTCAGTTTGTTTCTTTGCAGTTGCCTTCCATTAGACTATCAGCTCCATGAAGGCAGGAACTTTGTTTTGTTCTCCATTGTTTCCCCAAGCACATGACAGCCACAGGCCCACCTCTTACGTGGTTGACGTGGGGAGCAACATTAGCCAGACTTGGTAGAGGAGTCTCAGCTCGACTCATCCGTATTCCTAGAGCTGGGGTTTCTCAGAGACCACGAGCGATCGCTGGGGGCTGAGGCGTGGTGGGGTACGGGGCATAGCACAGTGCTGTGCACCATGAGATGCGTATGCTCTTCTCTTGCAGGCCTTGGGATTCTTGCTATGGGTTGTCTGCTGGGCAGACCTCTTCTACTCTTTCTGGGAAAGAAGTCAGGGCAAGCCGGTGCCCCCAGTGTTGTTGGTCAGCCCCACCCTCTTGGGCATCACCATGGTAAGTAGGTGGCTGCAGACCCTTGGCCATCTGCCATGCCTTGTTGGGACCAAAAGTAGTAGCTAGTGGGGAGGGAGGAGGAAGTAAAAAGAGTTGGTGTGTTATGTACATGTACCAAGTCCCCACATTATGTACTGCAAACGTACTAGTAAAAATAAAAATGTAAATTTAAAAAAGTAGTAGCAGGAAATGGGACATGAGGGCAACCCAAGGTGAAAAATCCAGAGTCCAGCTCCTCTCGAACAGTACTGAGATCTGACTGTGCTGGACACACAGTCGTTTAAGGGAGGGATCAGCTAGAATGGAGATGCAGCTGGAGCCTGGAGACAGGGCGCTGCTGCTGGTTTGCTGCAGTCCCCACCCTCCCCTGCCTCCTGCCCCTGCGGCTGAGTGACAGATGCCTTCTTCCATTGTGTTTGCTGCCCTGGGACCTCAGGCCCTGCCCTGTGCTGTTTCTTGGCTGCAGTGTAGCAGGTGGGGTACCAAGCTGCCCAGGAAGCCACCTCGTTAATTACGGCCAAAGTTGTTGAGGGCTTACTGTGCCTGCCAGGTTTTCTGATGTTTCACTTGTTTTGAAATTCATCTGATTCTCGGAATAAACCAGTGGCATAGGTACTCACTTGTCCCCTTCTACAGGGGAGGAAATGCAGGTACAGAAAGGTTAATGCATTGCTTTAGGTCACACAGCTGATACACAGTGGAGCAAGTGTAGTGCCCAGTCATCCACCTTTTAGTCACTGCATTTGCAGCAGCTGTGACCACAGAGTGACTTGCTCGGAAGTAAGCACTGTTTCCATGTGTACGCATGCCCGGGGACCCTGGGGAGCCCAGAGGCAGGGCCTTTGAGCACTGGAGGAGGAGCACGCTGGAAGCAGGCTGTTCTGAGCAGGGAAAGGCAGTGTGGGCAGGAGGGTGAGCTGTCCTGTGAAGCAGGAGCAGAGTGGAAGTTGGGGAGGAGGTGACAGCAGAGGTGAGGGAAGGTGAGGTAGAGCTGAACCGGGAAGACCACGTGTCCCAGTGTCCTTCTCTCTGAGCCAGGCCCTGCCCTCATCCCATACGTACTAGCTCATTTGTGTGTATTTAATTATTTCCTGTACATTACAGATAAGCAGACAGAGGCACAGGGAAGCAGAGGAACTGGACCAAAGTCACACAGCCAGAAAGTGGTGGAGCCAGATTCCAGTCATGGCTAAGGCATCTGTTCCGCCATTCTGTCCTTGTGGGTTTCCTGCTGGGCTTTGCTTCCCTTTGGGACCGCATAGCCTTGGCAGGCACTAGTAATCCGATGGGGGGCCGTCCCACCTGTCCTACTGTGTTGGCCACCTGACACCCACAGCGTAAAGGAGGAGAGATTTATTTATGGTTTCGGAGGATTCGATCCATGCTCATCTGGCTCCAACGCGAAAACATCATGGTGTAAGGGCCTGAGGGAGCAGAGCTGCCTGGTGCATGGTGGCCAGAAGAGGAGCAGGGGGACTGTGAGAGAGAGAGAAAGGGGCAAGAGACAGTCCCAAGACCACGCCTCCATGACCCTCCCGGACAAGTCCACGTTAGTAACCCCTAGACGGATCCCAAGCCAATCAAGTTCACAGCCCAGCTTAACTGTCACAGTATTTCCCAGAAGTTGGCGATAAAGTGTGTAGCTGGGGAAACGAACGTGGAACGAACAGTTCCCCCACGAAGGCACAAAATGTGTACATGTGTGTAGAGGGCCATGAGATAAAGCCAGGGGACTTGACTTGGTCTTGAGGGTAGGCAAACGTTTCTCGGGAGGATATTGGAGCTGAGTCTCAAAGGATAAGCAGGGAGAAGGAACTGAGAGCTGAGGACAGCGCGCAGAGCCTCCCTGGGACACGGGGCCGGTGGGGGGCGGTCTGAGTCGGCCTGTGCGGCTGCAGCAGAGATGCAGAGGATTTCCAAAGCTGGGCCCTAAACCATTTTTGTGCCGTCTGGACCCTTTTCAGCCTTTGCCAGCCTGGTCTCAGTCCTTAGAGCAATGTTCTTGCAAACATACGACACATAATCTAATAAGGGAAACCAGTCCCATTGACACACATGAAGATGGTGTGGCACACGTGTATGTTTCTACTCAAGGTTTAATTTCCATTTGGTGAAATTCACCTTTTCTTCTGTACAGTTGTGTGAGTTCTGAGAATCCTGTATTGCTGTGTGCCTTCCTCCTGCACCATCAGCCTAAAGAGCTGCCCCTCGCCCCAGAGTTCCCTCCTGCTGCAGTGTGGCAGCCATTGCCCGCCCTCCCTGCCTCCTACCCTGTCACTGCTTAGGATGGGTGTTTCCTGTCCTGCTGCTCTGCACCTCCAGAGCGTCAGAGGACTGAGACTCTCAGCTGGAGCAGCTCTGAGGTCTCCTCAAAAGGTCTTTCTTAGCCTGGGCCTTGACCCACACCTGAGATCCCAGCACCAGGAGCATCACAAGTTTGAGCCCAGCTTGGGCAACTCAGTAAGATGCTGAGCATTTAGTTGTAATGCACTCCATCCATCATTTATTCCTCAGTTGCAGGACATTTGGGCTAGGAAATGAATTAGAGTTAAACACAGTTAATCAACATACCTAAAAAGCAAATCTGATAAAAAAGGTACACACGTCTCTGCCCAGTTTTAGCTGCAGGTGGGATGACGCCTTAATTTCCAAGTAGCAGTGCCTGTAAATGACAGGGGAGGCACCCTTGGCTGCTCCTGTGGAATGCGGTGATACCTGATTTGGGCTGGTGACAAGGCTGGCTGTGCTACGTCCTTGTGTGGTGCCCACCTCTGCCTTGGTGATGCTGATCAGCAGACGGGAAGATGTCACTCTTTCTGTCCAAGGTCATGGAGTCCTGGCTTCTGGTCACAGCCCACCCTTGCACCCCAGGTTAAACCACTGGTCCTAAAGGGAAGGGCTTGGAGCAAGGTTGCGGCATCCTGATTTACATATGTAAGAACTGTGACCTCCGAAGGGAGCATGGGTGGTCAGGACAGCAGTGGAAGCTGACGGTGTCCTTGGCCGGAGGGGGGATGACATTGGTGAATCAGGGAAGATGAACAGGGAGGACAGAAAGACACATGTGCTTCCGGGCCAAGCATTTGTGGAGGGGGAGGGACCAAGGGTGTCCCATCACTCCTGAGTCTGGCTCGTGACTTAGGGTTGGGACTTTGCCTCTTAAAGGCAGCTGTGCCCCTCTGGAGAGTGGCCATGGTGTCAGCTTTTTCCAAGAGAAGTGTTTATTTTGCCTCCCTGTTTGTGATGTCATGCATGAAATAGAAGTAATTGTCCCTAGAAATGAAATAAAATCCTCTGCGAATTCTGTCCAACACCATCTTATGAACAGACTTGCTTGAAGATGAGCTATATGACTATAGGTGGGAGGTGTCCTCTATCTGGGCCTTAGTTCCCGTGTCTGGCAGGTGGGGCTGTCCGTGGCAGAGCACCTGAAGTGCCTTGTACAGGGCCAGTGTGGTGGGTACCCAGTAACTGCAGGGGCTAGGACTTCAACCCCAGTCTTCATGCCTCTGAATCAAGGGTTGGTTGACGATGGCCCAGATCTGGCCCACTGCTTGTTTTGTAAATAAAGTTTTATTGACATAGGCAGTCAGTTCCATTCATTTACATATCATCCACAGCTGTTTTCATTATACAGCAGCAGAGCTGAGTAGTTGTGAAGGAAACTGTAGTCCATGAAGCCTAACTCTGTATTATGTGGTCCAATAAAAAGTCTGCTGATCTCAGTCCTAAACTGAGCTTCCTCTCAGGTCCCTGTGAAGGTCTCATTAAATCCCCACAACTCTCCAGGCACGGCTCCTGTCTCCATTTTGCAGATGAGGCTTTGAGGGCTCTGAGAGATTCTGTGACTTGCTCTGCCGCACCTGTGTGGTAGTTCTTGTGCTCTAGGTGGATGACAGTTCCCACACCTGGGTGACACCTGCTGTGTGCTGGGATTACGGGGACCTCGGTCCACCTTCTCTGAGTAGCTCACGTTACATGCTTTTCTCTTCCAGCTGCTTGCCACCTTTTTAATTCAGCTGGAGAGGAGGAAGGGTGTTCAGTCCTCGGGGATCATGCTCACTTTCTGGCTTGTAGCCCTACTGTGTGCCCTTGTCATTTTCAGATCCAGAGTCATGACTGCCTTAAAAGAGGTAAGTGGTAGCCTCCTCTGGCATCCTCCAGGGCCCCGTAGAAGAGCTGCTTGTTCCTTCTTGTGTGTGTAGAAGTTAAGGGGGCTGTGGTACCACCTCTTCTTCCTACTCCCTCACATCCTCACTGTCGGCTGTGGCCTGTGTTCTAGAACCATTTTTTCATCTCCTCTTGACTGTATAACCCTGAGGGGCCAATGTGGGTCCTCCAAGAGCTGGGGCAAATACAGTGTCATACTGTGAACCTTTGTGCACAGTACCTCAATGGAAGTCTGCTGCATGTGTCTGTGGTCTGCAATGGCATTAAGCTGGGAGTGGCATTTGCAGAGCGCTATTTCCCCAGGGGCCCTAGGCTTGTCCCCGTGTTACCTCTGTGCCATCAGCCGCTCCTCTGGCTAGAGAAGTTGTTTGCGTTGGCTGCTGCAAGCCGCTCCAGGAATTTTGAGGAGTATACACTTTTTGACTCTACCCTGCCATGCCCAGCTACCTCGGAGCTGGTCAGGGACTGGCTTGAGGCAAACAAAGGAAAAGAAAGGAATACTTAGAATGGGAGCTTAGAATGCTCTCTTCGATCATGATGGCCGCTGACATTCATCTAGTTCCTGCTTTCTCATTGCCACTGGGGACTGAGTTTTTTGTGACTAATCTTATGATTTCTCACAATGACTGACAGGGCTTCTCAGCCTCAGCCCCGGTTCCACTTTGGGCTAGAGGTGACTTTGTTACAGGTTGCTGTCCTGGGCCTTGTGGGAAGTTTAGAGGCCTCCTTGGCCTCCCTGCCTCGGATACCAGTAGTGTCCCCCCGCCCCAGTCGTAACAAATGCGTCCCTAGACGCCAGGAGGTGTTTTCCCTGGGAGACAACCTCAGCCTTAGTTGAGGACCACTGGCCTGTTTGTACACAGGGAGACTGAGGCTCTGAGGGGATGAGTGGACAGGGTCCGGTGGCCTCCGCGAGTAGAGCCAGGCCTTGGACCTCGCTCAGTTTCCCTCCCACACCTGGGCTCCTCCCGCTGTGCTGGACCGTCCCAGGCAGTAGTGAGCAGTGTGGCTGCGGGACACAAAGCCGCCTTCCACAGAGCAGCCAGAAGCCCGTGACTAGTCCTGCAGCGGAGAAGTGAGCTACCTGCAGCCTGCTGTCCTGGCTGGTCTTTGTCAGTTTTCTGTTGTGTAATTGAATACTTCAGACTGGGTAATTTATAAAGAATAAAAATGGGCTGGGGATTTAGCTCAGTGGTTCTGCCGCCTGCCTGACAAGCTCAAGGTCCAAAGTTCGATCCCCAGTGCCAAAAAGAATAAAAGTGAGAAGGAATAAAAATGTACTCAGTTTAAGGTCCCGGAGCCGGAGCTCCAAGCTCGAGGTGCTCCATCTGGTGATTGTCTGGTGAGGACTGCAGAGCCTAGGGCAGTTTAGGGCATCACTGGGCGAGATAGCAAACACATTAACTTGGGTCTCTTATCCTCTTTTTTTTTTAAATGGTACTGGGATTGGGCTTTCACACTGAAGTACATCTCCAGCCATTTAAAAAATCTTTTATTTTATTTTATGTATTTTTTTTTTTTGAGACAGGGTCTCACTATATAGTTGAGACTGACCTGGAACTCACTATGTAGCCCAGGCTGGTCTTGAACTCACAGTGATCCTCCTGCCTCAGCCTCCCGAGTGCTGGGATTACAGTCATGCGCCATCATGCCCGGCTTAAAAAATCTTTTATTCTGAGGCAGAATCTCATTAAGTTGTCCAGGCTGGGCTCAAACTTGAGATCCTACTGCCTCGGCCTTCCAGAGTGCTGGGTTTCTAGGCATGTGCCACAGTGTGTGACTTGTGTTTCTCTTATAAGGCTGCTAATGCCATCATGGGGGTCCCTGACTTCAAATACCATTTCCGTGTGACTTTGGGGATTCAGCCTTCATAGTAAGTTTTAGAGGGGCCAAACACATTGGCATGGCAGCTGCTTCTAGAAAATGATCTTTTCTTCCTTCTCTCCCATTCAGAGCGCCAAAGTCAGCCTGTTCCGTGATACCACTTTCTACGTGTACTTTTTCCTCGTGCTGATTCAGCTTGTGTTGGCCTGTTTCTCCGACCGCTTGCCTTTGTTCTCCGAAAGCATCAACGACCCCGTAAGTGTGACCGATGTGTGTGCCTGTGTGCAAGAGAGAAATAAAGAATGCCAGCCAACACGCGCTGGGTGCTGATTCCCAGCCTGTGTCACCACTTCAAAGGCTGGAGACGAGTAATATCACCTCATGCTCTTCATATGTGCGAACACCGAGACTTAGACGTGGCTAGGAAGGCTTAAGGACGGAGTCTGCCTGGTAGCTGTAGGTGGTTGTGTCTTAGTAGTGGTTTTAGAAGATGCGAGCAATTACTTAAAAACCAGTAGCTTTCATGTAAATTTGGTCTGCCTAGGTTTCTTAAAAAACAAGAAGTTCTGGCAGCTCTGGGCTAGAATCCCACAGGCAGCAGTTGGCAGGACCTGCAGTGTAGCTGGAGTTTCTTGTGCTCCCTTGGGTCCTGCACCACCTGGTGCCCTCATTTATGGCCCCCATGGGCCCCCAAGGGATTCATGTGGGACACCTTTGTCTCCGCTCTCATTTTCAGTGATGATAGCTATGACAGCTGTAGCAAGGAGGTGGTCTCTCATCCTGCTGGTAGAATACAAGGCGCATGATCCTTTATCTCCCTGGAGTCCCTCTTCCTGCTGCTCTCTGTTCCTCCCTCCCTCCTCACCCCTCCTTTGTTCTATTTTCCTTCCTCCCTTTCTCTTCTCTCTTTTTTCCTTCCCTCCCTCCCTCCTTCCTGTCTGGATCTGGGCATTGGGTTTAGCAGTGAATAAAGCATAGTTCTTGTCCGCTTGAGGCTGATGTTTTAGGGGTAAGGGACAAACATTAACCCAGGACCCCAATGTAAGTCAGACGGTGGTGGTAAACACAAGACAGAAGAAAGCTGGGGAGGCTGTGCAGGATGCTAGCCAGGGTTTTGTGCAGTGTCTCGTTAGAGCCATCAAGCAAGGCCTTCCCAGGAACACACATGTGGACAGAAGTCTGGAGGGAGAGGAGCCAGGCAGACACCAAGAGGAGAGGGCTCTAGGCAGAGAAGCAGAGGCACCTTGGGTGGAGCTGTCAGAGCGAGTGTGCAGGGAACTGCAGCAGCCAGGGTCAGGAGAGGTCCTCACAGTGAGCTGGCCCTTTGGACGTTAAGGGAGCGAGGCAGGAAGCCTTTGGGGTGCATGGGCTGTTTGCTCCTGGTCAGTCAGCCAAGAGTGGGCGGACCGCAGTGGGAGCAGTTTTTAGCTGCAAATTCTGTTGGGTTTGGCCTGGACCACTGCAAAGGGCCAAGGGGTGTGCTGTGGGTGAGGAAAGGCTTGGGGGCCCCCGGCATGGAGGAGGTTGACACAGCCAAGAGGTCAGAAACTTGTGTCCCTGTGTGTTCTAGGAGGCCCAGTTCCTGAACATTCTGCTCAGGGAGGAACAAAAGTGGAGTCTTAGCCAAGTGTGTGTATGTTCATGAGTTCACGTATCTGTGTGTGCTCCTGCATATTTGTGTGTGTTTACATGTGCATGTGCGTGTATTTACATGTGTGTCCGTGTTCGCACAAATGTGTGCATCTGTTCCTGACCACTGCTGTTGGTGAGTGCGTGGTCACCTGTGTCTGTGCATATGAATAAAGTTCCAAGACGCAGTGAGTGAGCCTGGGGTCCCCCGGTGGACTCTCATTCTGTGCCTAGCATTGAATAACACTGTATTGCTTGTCTGTTTGTCGGTGGGAGGAAGCCAAGCGTTTGCTGCAGGAAGCAGTTACTCGGTGTTGGGCTGTTCTGCAGAGCGGGGATCGCATCGCACAAGTCACGCCCACCTGACTGGTTGCAGCCCCTGGGTTGCTCTGGGGGTAAACCAAGTCCAAGTGGAGCTGACAGGTCAGCGTGGGGATTACCTGGCCCTTCACACTTCCTGGAAGCTTTATAGGGAGGAGTTTTCTTCTCTCTTTGGGGGAATGGATATAAAAATCCATTCTGTAGTCAGGCCTGGTAGCATAGACAATGGTCCCTGCACTCTGGGAAGCCGAGGCAGGAGGATCACAAGTTTGAGCCTTACATGGGCAACTTAGTGACTTGTGAGGCCCTGTCTCAAAAAATAAAAAATGGGTTAGGGATGTAGCTCAGTGTAAAGGTCCAGGGTTCAATCCCCTATACTTCCCTTTGCCCCATTTCCCTCTGCTTCTTCCCTGGGAATTCATCTGTTAGGAGAGTCCGGGTCCTCTGTTCCTGCTTTCTGTGTTCCCCAGAGGCTGGGCCGTGGAGATGCCCCCCGCACCGTCTTCTCATCATTGTGTCTCCACTTCTGTATTGCTCCCCTCTTCCCCTCCCCATGTCAGTCCTGATCTTCCAAGGAGCCAGAAAGCACTGGGACTGAGTTGTCAAAGACTGTATCTCCTGCAAAGCCTGCAGTATTTCCACTCTGGCTTTCTGCAGGATGAGACTGTTTGTTCCTGGTCTGTCCCATTGCTTGAGCTCGGTGGACTTTTACCTTCCACTTTTGTCTGCCGTCCTTCTCCAGGGTCTGTTTCTGCTGTGACAGGTGAGGACAGGGAGTCCCTGCTGTATACCAGGCCCCATGCTGAGCCCTTCATACTGGTGTTTCATTTAAGCCTCATGCCAGCTCCAGTGATCTTGATACTGGTTTTTCCATTTTACCAGCAAAGAAACTGAGTCTGAGGGAACAAAATGCCTCGCCCAGTGTCAGTGGCAGAGTAGGAGTTCAAGCTCATGCTTGGACATTCTGCAGAATCCTACCTCTGCTTGAGGGCAGGGTCTTGGCTAGTTAACAGCTCTGTGTAGGGCTGTGAACTCCAGGAGGCAGAACCCACCCTGGGTCTTATGGCCTAGGACAGGGACCTGTGCACATGAGGCCCTTATGCGAATTTGTTGCTGCTGTGTGGTGGGGCAGAGTTCAGTGTAGATGTCTCGCTGAAGTGGAAGGTCTACTTGGGACCTCCCAGGATGTCAGACACGATTCCCCTCTGCCTCTGCCCTCTCCTCATGTTAGCAGGTGGAAGAGACAGGACCAGCGTTGTGTAGTGACCCGTGGAAGGCCTGGTGTGGCCCTAAGACCTTGTTTTCCTCTTTAAAAATTGTTTTTGTTTATTGTGATAAAGTATATAAGGGTTGCCATTTTAAGCACTTAAAATGTACAGTTCCATTGCATTACGAGCTTTCTATTTCATTCCGAGTCCTGCTGCTCTACGTGGGGATAGTGCTCCGTAGCACTGCTCTCAGCTGGAGCGTGTGTACAATGCAGAGCTCTCAGGCTTTTTCCAGACCACAACCTGTGCTTGCATAGGGTTCCTGGGCATTCTTGTGCACAAGAAGTTCAGAAGTCTTGCTTCAGACCTCACAATAGCCTGGCAAACATTCCCACCCTTTTTAAATGTTTTATTTTGAGATAGAGTCTTGCTAAATTGCCAAATTGCCCAAGCTGGGCTCAAACTGACGGTCTTCCTGCCTTGGCCCCCCAGAGAGCTGGGATTATAGGAGTGTGCCACCATGCTGGAATTAGCGTTCCACATGGAAAGTGTGTCCCTTTTTATGACCTGTTCCCAGAGTCACAGAGTGTCACTCTTGCCATGCTCAGTTAGTTAGGCTATGCCTGAGGAGGGGACGGAACTCCCATCTCTAGATGGAGAAGGGGCCATGTCTCATAGCACGGAGGGCACACGGGGGAGAAGAGAAAATCCTGAGCCTCCCAGCTTTCTTTGGAAGATGCTGCTAGCCCTGGCCCCTGGGAAGCCTGACATCAGCTAACAGGCAGCCATTTGTAGACAGTGGTGGGTAGGATCTGATAATGTGAACACAAGCTAGGTCCGTGACTTTTTTAGTTCAGGCTGGCCTTGAACTCAGGGTGTTGCCCAGATTGGCCCTGAACTAGTGGTAATCCTGTCTCAGCCTCCTGAGTGCTGGGATTACAGGCAGTGCACCACCACTCCGGGCTGGCTGTGGTTGATTTGATGTTGGCCACACCCCTTCCCAGCTCTGGGGAGTACGCTTTTCTAATGCACCCTTTTGTCTCTGCACAGCCCCAGGGCAGAGTGACAGGAGAGCCTGGACTATCTGGGGTGCGCAGGTCCTGCTGCTGTCTCCTCTTCAAGGTGGCAGCAGTCACATGTCACTTGCCCTCAGAGTGGTCAGCCAAGCCCTGGGGCAGCCTGGGTCAGGCAGGGCCAGGGTGGGGACCAGCAGGGCTGACTCCATGCTGCCTGTGCTGAGTCACCCAGTGACCGTCCTCCCCAGCTGGCCCTGTGCCTGCTGCATGACTCAGACATCTATTCCTGCCTCTGCCTGGTTCTTGGTGGGGATCTTCCCGTCTGTCCTCTAGCCAGAGTCAGTGGGGCTTCTTCTGGGAGCCAGGACTAGCTGACCAAGCTTTGAGAGCTTTCCTGGGGCTCCTGTCCCCAGCCTCCAGTCCCTTTCCCTCCCTGGCACTGAGTCTAGGACATCGGGTGAGCAGAGGGGGTCCCCTAAGGTTAAGGAGTCTAGGCTAACCGAGGTCAGTTAGTGGGCTCCATGGGGCAGCGGCGAGAGGGAATCCAGAATCCAGCCACTGCCTGGGTGTGGACCCCCTGAATCAGAATCTCGCTTGTAACAAGATCCTAGGGTGGTTCCCGGTTGAAAACCACTGGTTTAGATGATTGTCCAAAAGCCGCTCAGCTCATTTGGAGTGGGAAGTATTTTTATTCTGCCCAAGCAATTGGGAATCTTTTTCTGCTGACGTTTTACTGTGAACATTTTCAAACCGGAAGAAAAGTTCCAAGAACTATAGAACAAGCAGCCATATATCCAGAGAGCTGTGGTTGGTTAACATTATGCCAAACCTGCTTTATCACACATCTGTCTCTTCAGCCAGCCTGCCAAGTTTTATACATGGAAATTACTTGAAACATGTTCCTATCCTTCCCCCAGACACTTCTGTGGGCAGATGATAGCTGGAGTTCAATGTTTTGTTTGCAGTTATGTCTTTTTGCCTTAGAGAAAGATACAATGAAATTCTCCATCTCAAGTTACTCATTGGATGGGTTTTGATGAGTAAATCCATGACTGTCGGGATACAGAGCATTCCTGGGACC